AAATAACTGTGAAGTCAACAGCTGCTCATCGGTGGGCGCAGCTCCTGGACAGGTGCATAAATGCAAAGGAAGATGGTGAATTCCGTTTGTTTCAATGACAAGCACAAAGGGGTTGCCCAGAGAATCCTCTGTGTCAGGTTGAGGAGCTGTACCGAAACCCTTTGTTCTTTTGTAGTGTTCCTGAGTGTTGTTGTCAGCTTCTTCTTCGGTCGCGCCATTGTCTCCATCCTGATCGGATGGTTCAGTCTCGATGTCTTCGCCATCATCGCCGACATCTGCATCAGCCTCCATGGACTCATCTTCCCCGAGAAGGTCATCAGACACTGCTTGAACTCGAATATCAAGATCAATTGGGATGGGTGCGGGCGCCGCCCATGTTTCGGGCGCCGCCCATGTTTGGCCAACAGGGCTGGTGGGCGCCGCTGGTCCTGCGGCTTCTGCAGCCTCACAACTTGCATCCTGCCTCTCATTTTCTTGTTCCTCGAACTCCGCAAAGTTGGGACAAGGGGATCCATTATGGCCCAAATTCAACACCAAGCCTGTCTCCCAGAGACCGGCGGTACGGAAATAGCGGCCATTCCAGTATTGGACCCGATGGGTATGAAGCCTCCTATGAGTCTGGCGGCAACAGGCGCGACAATATACAGGCTGCAAGGCGCAATCGAGGCATCGGAACTTGGATGCCATTTTGCCGCAATCTACACAGACCATCCCAGGAGGTGGGGCCTCTGTGACAAGAGTTACCTCAAGATGCTTGTCCCTGCGGGCAACCCATTCTCTCAGATAATCGTTCTGGCTCTGGGATCACTGATAAGCAGAAGTTGGAAAGAACAGAGAGATCCACCCACCTTGCCTGACGTTCTCTGGTGAAAAGGGACAGCAAACTCATCAATGACCATTGTGTCTACATCGTGATCGAATTGGGCTTGCTGGCTATGCTGAGCTGGCGCTGACGGTGCATGCAACAGGGAATCAGGAGTAAAGTATTTGATCTTCTGGACGTATCCCCTGGTTGTCTTCTCGTATTTCCCTGTATAGAATACAGGTCCAGGAGGCC